AATATATATATATATATATATATATATATATATATATATATACACACACAAATATAAATATAGTAAATCTATGTATATACACTCAGCTGTTCGAAAGTTTGGGTTGGTAAGATTTATTATATTTTCAAAGAATTCTACCATGTTCACCACAGCTGCATTTTGTTGATCAAAAAGAGAGTAAAAAAAGTAATATTGTATAGTTGTTGTTATTATTTAAACATTCTATAACATAGTAAATTATATTATTAAAATGTTGGTCAATTTAATGATTGTTATATTTCTTCCCAAAAAAAAAAATCTTAGTGTGTGGATAGATAGACAGACAGATAGATAGACAGATAGACAGGCGGACAGATAGATGGATAGATAACTAAACAAACGGAACATTAAGCAATTTAGAAATGTACAATAAATGCATCTGCTTTTGATAAACTCATATTATTTTGCCATCAGCTTCAGTTTGTGCTGAAACTGTGCTTGTGTGCAGCTGAAAAACAACCAGACGTGACCTGTGAATATGAATGCTCCGGCACCATGTGAGACACTACGCCGAGCTGACAGTGGAAGTGACGCTGTCGTTGTGCACTCACCCCGAAGAGCCCGTGCTCTTGCACACGCCAAGGAGGGGCCGTTTCTCAGCGAAGCTGTCAGTGTTGAGGGAACCTGCAGCCGGAGGGACAGAAAGGGGAACATTAACCACTGACCCACATAAAGAGGGACATTCATTAGCCACCCGCACATGAGGCCTGTTGTCTCTCCGCCAAAGCCACCCACCCACCGAACTTGAGCTTAAAAAACAGCTACCACAGCAGGAAGCGTGTTGATTGCATTACAAGAGATCTGTAATCAACATTATGCTTTGAAAACATCCTCAAAATAAAAAAAACTTTCCTGTCAGCTTTGACATTCACACACCCTCACTTAGAAGAGAATAATGCCCTATTCCTCAGAGACTTATGGGGATCAAATTAAATTAAAATACCAGCATGCAAGACATTAAATGGAGACAGAGAACAGAAACGCCACTCAGTGCAATGTGTTGAATGCAAACCATTTCTCCTCCGACTCTAATGGAGAAAGCCTTCAAAGCTTTAGGAGGAGTCTTCTGTCTGACTGGCTTTAATTTCAGAGCTTCGGAGGAATTACAGAATGGCAAAAGGCCGGTAGGCATATTTTGGGTGGAGAAAACATGTCGCAGTGAGTTTACAGATCCCATACTTATCTAATTCTCTTGATTTAAAAGAGAAGGGGAAAAACTTCCATTCATGTCCGGATAGAAGAAGAAGATGTTAGCCTTTGTGGAGCTGTAATTTGGGCAGCCATGCCATGACACTAATCAGCTCCAGGAACGTACGGTCCCTGTGGCGTGGCGTGGCGTGTGAGTGCAAATGTGTCATTCTCAAACCTTAACAGTTTAAAGGGCCTCTCCTCCGTCTTCACTTCTCTGTCATCAGACATTGCGACTGGTCACGATATCCAATCATAATGCAAATACGACGGGCCTCTAAAAGACAACAGCTGCCTTCTATTTGAAAGAACAATTAAGGGGCAGAAAACCACCCCTTGCTCCTCTCCATCTGTAGATGTGTGTCTCAAAAACGGCTGGACTTTAAAACAAGTGGTTTTCATTTGTATTTTCCAGTGCCTGTTTTCAATCTATGCTGTGAAATATTGAGAGAATTGTTTTCTGGAAGACATAACAAATTTCCTGCATTTCAGTAAATAATACATTTATAGGACAGCTATTTACGAGTGCGCTTTCAGCAGTGGGGTAAATTTAAACAGAGAGGAAGCAATCGCAGATTTCTGGTCAGCTGTGGATATGACCGTCCGTAGCGGTCACCTGGAAATGAATCACTGCAGAAACAACAGCAGAAGTCAAAAACAGAACGGATGCGGAAAAAAAGTCAGTTTGCATTTTTAGAGAAAGCGGAACTTCCTCCTTTATTCTGGGAAAGACATTGCATTATTAAAATTGACACCTATTTTCAGGACTTTCCAAATCCGCTCACCCAGCTAAAACAATTACTCTTTTTAAATCCCACTACAGTATGACACTGTTTGCGCCAAACAGATCACGATCAGTTTCCCCACTTGTAAAATTCATTTGATTTAGCTGAGAAGCGTTCTCCTCATGTGTCGGCCGTCTGCTGCTTCTTATTATGACAATTCTCTTTTATCTGAATCCAGCCGGCGTTCAATGCCTTTATTGTGCATTGTTTAAATCTGCCGAAAGAACAGAACACAAATTCTGTGCATAAATGTCACACTACAATACGACTCAGTGCATTTCCTATTCCTTTTGTTTTTACATTTGAATATGACCATGCCACTTATTTAGAGAGAGATAAAAAAAAAATCTGACTATATAATATCTGAACAGATAATATCCTGTTTTAGTCATAACAGAAAGTGTGCAAAATCATCAAACAGGAAGAAAAAAAAAATGTGAAAGGGATAATTTGGCATAACATTAATATTTAAGCATACCGAATCAGGTTGCGTGTATTTTAGTTTAGTAAGATGTAGCGTGCATTTTTTTGTCAGACTATTCATTTTCGTCCTTTAACAAATGGAATGAGCACAGGCATGCGATGGCCAATGAGTGAGCCGTGATGAAAGAGAAGGTAAATCTCAGAAGTCTGCAGTTCCTCTCTGCCAGAGCAGCGGTAAAAGTCCAGGCAGCCAGCTGACAGCATGCCAACATAATTGTGAAGGACTGATTTTAATATTATGAAGGGAAAACAGCGGGGCTCTGGCGAGCTCTCAGCGCTATTAAGAAACAGAAGGTAGTCTTTAATTTAAACATGATATATGGAAAAGCCAGTAAGGAAGAAAGACATGGAACTGTATAAATTGCCACATCTCGGTCTAGCTTGATTCGAAAAAGCATGTAACTGCCGAAAACTGATTTTACTTTCTGCAAATTTCTAGGCAAATAATAGTGGCAAACATGACATGTAAAATAACGTGCTGTTTATGTAACATATGACGTGAAATAAATTTAAGCGTAGCGGCAGATCATGCTCGGTCAACACATATTTCAATTTGGAGGTGGACGCTTGTTCTTGACAAGCTGAAAATTAAGATGTCACTGGAATGTAGAATTTATAATAATATTTCAGAGCAGCAGTTTTACTTGCAGTAATGAAAAGTCTTCTAGCAGGGGTTATAAGCCTAAAATGGAGCTTAGGTCTATTCTAGAAAACAGTTGGGAGGGGGAAAAACAATTCTAAATGCAAAAAATTTTAATGCAACCGAATTTTTGTGCCTTCTTAGGATGCCAAAGTTAAAAAAAGAAAAGAAAAAAAAAGAAACTGTCTTGCTGTTCAGTCTACACTACCATTCAAAAGTTTGGGATCTGTAAGTTTAGGTTTTTGTGTGTGTGTGTGTGTGTGTTTCAAAGAGGTTTCTTATGTTACCTAATGCTGCATTTATTTAATCAGAAATACAGTAAAACAGTAATATTATGAAATATTGCAATGTAAATGTAAAAGTTTTTTTTGTAAAATTGTGATGTAAATTAATGTAATTTATTATCATCCTGTGATGGCAAAGATGAATTTTCAGCAGCTAATACTCCAGTCTTCAGTGTCACATGATCATCCAGAAATTCATTTTTTTTCAAAATTGAAAAACAGCATAGTGCTTTTTAATATTTTTGTGGAAACCGTTATACCTTTTTTAGGAATCGTTGGCGAATTAAAAAGTTCAACAGAACAGCTTTTATTTGAAACACAAGTCTTTACTGTTACTTTTGATCAATGTAATGCATCCTTGGTTAATAAATGTATTAATTTCTTAAAAAAATAAAAAAAAACTTTTGAATGGTAATGTATGCCAAGTTTTGCATATTGCTAGGCCTATGCAGTATTCAATTTCTTTGTTAGATTTCAAAAACATTTTGTTGGGGCCACTATATGTTAAAAGTCATGCACTTATGTGGCTCTGCAGAATGAGCGAAGCCCAGGCTTTTGGGGTGTATGATACTCACTGATATGAGGAGCAGGCAGGATCCTAGCAGTTCGCACAGGTCCATGCCTCACCGAGAACAGCTCCTGTGCTTCCCCGTTCAGCTGCAGAGAGAAGAAACAAACAGACATGCTTAAAACACACCGGACAGTGATGTTACAGAGATAAACTCAGTTCAAAGACAGCAAAGAGTACTGTGGGTGTGAGAATGTGGTGATGCATAAACTCTGGAGGTGCATATGGGTTTGTACCAGAGCCGCATCTCAAAGGTTATCAGGCCCGAGACAAAATGGCAACCTTATAATTACAGTACAGAGTTGACAGGGCTCCAGCATTTTATCTTTTATTTGTACATCAGCTAACACATTCCGTTTGAAAGTGTTGACACAGAGTGTCCAACTGAGAAACACCCATGACGAATGTCCTAAATACTGTGGCATCCCTTTTGGAACATTAACATAAAAGTACTCGACTGTGAATCACACAATGCTCTGTTTGGTCTGCAGCGGCTGTGATGTGGTTTGATAATGAGTCACCCAACAACTAGAAGATAAACATCAGGCATCTGTGGACAAACCAAAGCAAGACACTTCAAAAAAATATATAAAAACTGCTGTGTAATGTTATCTGGCCATTGATATGAACGGAAAATGGATAAAAGCCGCAAAACTCAATTCTGTCATTGACAAACATGCTCTTAAATGACACTTGTGCTGTTTTCAAAGCTGCGGTCTGTTTTTTTTTCATAGTTAAATTATCCTATCCCAGCTTAATAGAACAGTTCACCCAAAAATGAAAATCATGGGTGAATCACTTACTCACCCTCATGTTGTTCCAACCCCTGTATGACTTTTTTTTTCTTCAGTGGAACACAAAAGGAGAAATTGTTAAGTATATCCCAGCCATTCTTTTTTACATAATGAATATGAGCGAGCACTGGGACTGTCAAGCTCCAAAATGACAAAAAGCTCCTCTGAAGTATTATAAAAGTGGTTAATATGACTCATACATTATATTCCATGTCTTCTAAAACCATAAAATAATAGCTTTGTCTCAAGAACACTCCAAAATGTAAGTCATTATTCAAACTTTGATAGTTCTTCTTGGGGAAGTAGCGATGAAAATTATTGATGTTCAGTTCACAAACTAGTCATTCTTTTGAACTGGATCTTTTCAAAGAGCTGATTTATTGGTTCATCATCTGAATGATTCAGTCACAATGATTCGGTTAACAAGGTCAGGTCACAGCTTCATATTCAACTACTTATCCAAAGACTTCAGTAGGTTGATTTCCCTGAAACGTGTAACTGTGGAACTACTGTTTGTGCATTGTGCACCCGACACTGGCTCAACCAATGGTGCGAGTTTGGGGCGGGACTATCTGCTATGCCAGTGGTTCCCAACCTTGGTCCTGGAGGCACCCCAACACTGCACATTTTGCATGTCTCCTTTCTCTGACACTCCAATTTCAGGTCTTGGAGTCTCTACTAATGAGCTGATGACCTGAATCAGGTGTGTTTGATTAAGGAGACATGCAAAACGTGCAGTGTTGGGGTGCCTCCAGGACCAGGGTTGGGAACCACTGTGCTATGCAACCAATTAAATTAAATTTTGAAATCTCAGATCCATTCAGAATTATTAAGTCTTTTCTTGCCTCTGCCAGTGTAGGAAAAATCTGAATTGCTGATCAACTCGATGCCATTCGGGGTCAAAAATGTGGTTGCGGGACGTCAAAGAACAATGGGGCACAAACAAAGAGAGATTTGTTCACACTGTAGGACAAATCAATGCAAACTGAGAGAAACAGACTTCACATGAAGGATGGAGGGTGAGCCAACAACTAAACCACAAAACAAAAGCTACCATGTATTCCATAAACGTGCTCCTCAAATATAAACACCATTTCCGTGACTAACCGTCCCAGGCCGATATTTAGCACCTACAATGACCATTTGATTGAGCTGTAATAACAATACAGACCTAAATCAAATTAAGTCTTAATCACGTCATTCTCATACCGACACTGTAATAAGCTGATGGAAATCTGGAGATCTGTGAAACCAAAGCTGGGGAGTGGCGTATCACATCGCAAGGGCGGAAATATCTTGATTGGCGCCCAAATCCTATGGCCTTTTATTCTAGCTTTTTGTTTTAAGAATTAAGCCCTGAATGTGCATCTCTATGCGTGTTAAATTACAGAAACTTCCTTTATCACATTACTGGGCATAATCCATGTGTCTTAAGCAGATAAGCCCACAGAGGATGATTGCTCTTTTGAACAATTAGTAGCTTTTTCAAATGCAGGATCAGTTTAGTTTTTTTTTTAAAAGGCGCTCGGTGCAGACTTTGTAGCTGCCAAGTGGGAGATTAATAGGGCATCTACAGCACGGTACATTTGATGTGAGAGAGACAGAAGGAGAGAAAACAAGAGAGAGAGGTAATGCACGCGGGCCACCACAAAACAAAACCCCCGGCTGGCTAATGGGGCAAAGGAATAATGGAATTTAGCAGATTGTGAGGTTTACATTAATGCGACTGTCATTGTGCATTACCAGACTGCTCATCCTCGCTTTACACGGCTTTAGTGGTGGCATCCATCACCAACCTCTCAGCTATTACATTACTATTTATCACAGCAATGTGCAAAATTGAGGCTTCTTTTTGTTTTCCCCTCTTGTTGTTTCTAATGTCATTCACATGGATACAGTGTAGATGCTGGTCATGAAATGAGTTTTGTTAATCTCCAGCCACTCTGTGTGATGAATTCAGCGAATCGGAGCAATTCAACAGTATCTGGAGCTGAGAGAGACGGCAGCTCTGCCTGTATTCTTAGAAAGCGGAGAGCATCTGAAAGTAGATTGGACAGAGGACAAAGCCCAGCATTAGACAAGAGAGACTGGTGACATCTCTGTCTCCTGGCCTTCTGGGCTCTTGATACGATAGCAATAATACAGACATGAACTTCTGCTCTCCTTCCTAAAATACACTATAAAAACAAAGTCTGAAGTCCAAGCCAAAAGACTTGGATTGCATATATCAATTATTGTTTCTGTGAAGGGAATTTAAATGTTTCATCTGAGAAAAAAGAGACCATAATAAATTCTATCCAATATTCCAATGATTTAATGCATTTTATATTTAACAAAAAAAGTATCAGTACCAACTGAGACATACTCAAAATGTTTGAAAATAGTATTTAAGTTAAGTTAAGTTAAAAAATAAAAAAAATAGTAATACTAATGCAAAACTGACAAAGTAGATTTTTGGCTAATACAATAATATCTAAATGCCATAATATCTTCTGATAATTATATTAAGCCAGTACGAATAAGCAGATATCTATTTTTAATGTTATGGCAAAGAACTTATAAATGGCCTCTATTAAAATGTATTTTATTTATACTATTTTCTAAAATAGAAAATGTAAAAATATAAATTCAAAATGAAGCTAAATAAATCACAATGTAAACTAAACATTACAGTATAATGTGCAGTATGAAAAACATTTTGAGATTTGCTAAAGTTATGTTTAATAGCGTTATGCACTTGAATCAGTTGTTTCTTGCTTAATATACAGATAAAAGTGTTTGCTTAATGAATACAATGTACAATATAAAGTGATTTTAAAGATTTACTTTAAGTGCGCAAGTGATGACAAAGATAATCTAAATGTAAAAAATAATCAAAATAAGAATGAACAATGAAATACTCAATATCAACTGATGCCGTAATTGTTTTATTAAATAGTAAATAATAATATCATGCAAAATTTTGTGAATCCCTTATCATTTAATCCCTCCTTAAACATGCAATTTCTGCAGCACTATCATCACCACAGATTTCTCAAACACCCGTCTCTACACATTGGAATCATGAAGTGCATTAGGCTGCTTTAATGATAACAGCAAAGCAGACACCTTCAGTGTACTGCATGTCATCCCTCCACTCCAACACCACTTCAATTAGCCCTGTCTAATCTAACTGCTATCTCCTGCCAGCCAGCAACACCTCCATCAAAGATTCTGCTCCACCAAGATGCTAATGCACAGGAATGCAGAAATGTACTACAGCTAGTGCCACTCCTGCTCCTCCCTTCAACGCCATTACAGAAGGTGTTGGCTCAGCAACTGTCACAAACACTTTGCAGACAACTTATAGCCAGACACTGTGACGCTTTCAACACATTCACAAAAAGTGTGAGATGTTGTGTCTGTAATGATCCTTCCAAATTCACGTCATAATGAAGTGCAAAGCTTTCCTAAAGTGATAACTGTCAGGACTTTCATAATTTTCTAAAATAAAGGCTTAGTCAGGGTGACAAATCACATAATATGACCGATATCTTGATCTCGATTACCATATGACTGAGACAGCCAAGTCTGAGAAACCTTTTGAATTGAAATTGACATTTTCACTACTTTACTGGGGAAGCGATATCATGTTAAGTTACCATTATTTTTTACATTTGACATGATTCAGAGCTTAACATGCATCTTGACAATTTCACCCAACTTCAATACTAAAATCTGTATTCCAGGACACAGCCTTGCCTTTGTCTATGGCGACACCAAGTGGTGAAAAAGAGTCACAGCATAACACAGCAACTGAGCAATATCAAACAATTTTAAGGTCGTTTGTGAGTCATATTTGACTAAATATTGATTTTAAATACAAAACTGGAATAAAAGATGACAAATTCCCGTATTCATTTTCAAAACAAAGGACAATAAATGCAGTATACACCAGATAGTATGTAGTAGGCAGTACAACAGTATTGATTTCACTGCTGAGCTTCGCTGTCTACACCTTATTGTCACCAAAATGAATGATTTCCAGTTGCTTTGTCAATGACATACAGAAAGAGTGGTCTAGAGAAAAACATGCTGGCTGCATCCAAAAATGCTAAGTAGTGTAATTTGCAACCGTTAAAAAATATGTTCTATATAGTATGAATGTGTGTTATATGAAAGCATTGCAGAATATTTGTCATGTTGTCATTGTCATGTGACCTACAGCATTGGTTGCATCACTTCACTGCCATTCACAACTTCTCTTCAGTAGCCTCATGGGATAGTACAGTGTCCACTGGCTGTGCATGTCAGAATCTCACCAGAAGTAGTAGTTTATCCAAATAATTTTTGCCTACTCTTTTATGAATACTGTGAATTCGGACATACTACTCTTTTCACATTCTATTTTTAGCCTACTACATAGTCAGCAAGTATGCATATTCAGAAGCAGCCAGTGTAGTGCAGGCAAGAGAGACCATTTAAAATGTACTCACTGATATGCTCCAAATCTGCATTCCATCAGTGTATCCAATCATCAAGCAGAGAGGCGGGTCAGTGCCGCTGCCGTGCATCTCTTGGAACTCTGGTAAGCGAGCCACATCTGGACACAGGGCAAGAAACACAAGTTGTAGGAAATGACACAGAAGTACAACAAATAATTCACAAAGCAAGTAATTCACAAAGGCTTGACGTAAGTTGTAAACAGCTCAATAAACAAACAAGACGCAGATGATCAGAACAATGGAACACATAAATAATGATTCAAAAGTTGGCAAAATATAGCACCTTTCTGATCGCCACTGTTTTTATTCTTCTGACAAAAAGAAAGTGTAAAAAAAAGACCATGGCTGTCAATACAAGTGCCAATACAACTGGAAAATTAGGAAAGTTATGTCTAATCTTCTGACAATCATCTCATCCCCTCATGACATGTTTGCTGGATTGAGGAGCATGGTCAGCATTTAGATGATCCAACGTTGGTGCAACCAAAAACTTTGCTAACCCAATATGACTAGCCCCAAACCACATTTAGGATTTGTGTAACATCTCAATGCTTGTTAAAACTTTTTTGTAAAAATGTGGTGAAAAAATAAAATAAAAAAATATTTATGAGCCAGTTCTTTTTAGTGAACCAAAAACATGCAGCATGACCAATATGATATAGTCTGACTAACAAACAAATGATTCATATGAGCTGGTCCTTTTAGTGAATCAAAACATGCAGCACAAACTTACCATTGATGTCTGTTTTTTCAAATCGGACCCAAACTATCTTCTCTTTTTCATCATTTGGAGGTGTCCCAGTATATGCCTGAAAATTCAAAGATTAATACAGGCTAGATATTTTCTAACTAAATTGTTCTTGCTCTCACTATCTATCACTTATATGTCTAAAAAGAGTCTTTCATAGGCTCTCAACATTTTTACAACATAAATACATTGAAAATTAAACATTATCCAACACCGACTTTAAATTACAACACACATAAAAAAGTGAATCTCCAGTTTTGTACACAAAATTACAAGCAAAATTTAAAGGAAAAACATTTACCTGAGGGACTACATCCTGCAAGAACGTAACTACGCTCTCCATGTATGACTGCTCTCTGCAAAACAGTAAAAACAATTCTCATGAAAATAATATAACCACACAAGAAGAGACCTGACCATTTAAACCTAAAAGCTTGAGCAGCAATGCAATATTTTATCACCCTTTTGTTTATTAGGACCATCATCTTAACATTTACAATAGTGATCACTGAATTGGCTTTACAACTGTAATTTCATTCACAAATGAGCCATTATGGTCTTACGTTGCAGCCTGTGCTCGAACCACAACCCCACCAGCACAGCGGCTCGGTCTGCGCGGGGAGTCAGACGCCATGGCCAACCACTCAGGATCCTGTTGGAGCAGAGCATGAGAAGATAGAGTCATGATTTTCACATGATCATTACAATAAACATTACTGCAGAGATGCCTCATTGATCATTCTGATCTCAGTATTACTCTAAATTCAACAGAAGTAATAGGCTACAAATGATATCTGCACCACTACAGATCATCCACCTTGCAGATGGATGTAAACAAATCAGGCACAGATGTGCCTGGCTCAGTTAAATCTGCACAACAGACCCATTCCTATTAAGTATTGATCCTGTAAACGATCTATAATACAAACTTGTTACGACACGCGAGATAAACAAAATAAAAGACTTCAATCAACTCCAGCAATATTTACTAGTAACCAAACTATAGGACGTATATACCTTTATTACCACCATCATAATAATGTAAGTAGCTCTTCATTTCTTTACATTTTACCATAAATTTAACATAATTTAATCCAAGACAATGTCCAAAGAGATGTCAAGAGTGTGTCAGAGAAAACACAGCTGTGAGTTTAGTCAGTTCAACATTTCATCATATCAAATTGATCATCTCCAGTCTGTTAGCTTAGCCAATACCGCTATCTGCCATTTCAACGCTTCAAAGACAATAAACTGAGAAATGACAAGAACTTTTCTCACTTTCTGAAAGAAATATATATGTAATGTATGTAAGAAATGTGCAGTTGAATGTTTAACGATGCGACATTTGTACTAACCAGAGGTTTTGTGTTTAGAATTCGGATCAACAGAAGTCCTCACAAAACGCCACAGTGAAGCTGACATGCAGCGGAAACAACAGATGCCTTGGCCAATCAGAGATGAGCGTCGGAGACAGATAGCCAATAGTGTTAGGACAAAGGTGGGCACTTGGACCTTTCTGACCAATAGTGGATGGCATGGACTGTTTGGGTTTGTTTGTTCGCTGAACGAATCTGACACGTTGTTAAAATTAACATTAACATCGTGATGAAGTGTTATATAAAGCAATATTTGTTTGGTTCACACTCATATGAGCATCTCCGCATTTGAAAATTTGCACAACGGCCTGGATAAACGCGCATGTTACATCACGTCACGCTGATGTGTTTATTTACATCGAAGTATCGCGTGATCACCAACCGAGCTCCTTCGCACAGCCTCGGCTTCTTTCGGGGAAAAAACGAAGTTTTAGACACGGGACAACTAAGAAGGAATGTATAATGGTTCTTATCTTCAAAGGATGTCTTATTTATTATGAAATTATTTTAACTAGTTATATTGAAATAACAAATTGAAGTCCTATTTCTTGTTTAATTTGTCCCTATAACAACTTCCAATATTTTTATTAAAGAGCAGTTTTTATTGTAACATTTTTATTGACCTGTTTAGCATAGCAGCACCTTCAGTTTAGAATGACAATTTCTCCCATCATAAGAAAAAAAACAATGTTAATGAAATCCTTGGAAACATTAAAATAACCATAATGCTTAAAAGTGACGTGACATGTGGCCAAGTATGGTTACCCATACTAGGAATTAGTGCTCTGCATTTAACCCATCCTAAGTGCACACACACAGTAGTGAACACACCGTGAACACACACCCGGAGCAGTGGGCAGCCATTTCTATGCTGCGGCGCCCGGGGAGCAGTTGGGGGTTCGGTGCCTTGCTCAAGGGCACCTCAGTCGTGGTATTAAAGGTGGAAGAGAGGTGGGAGAGAGCGCTGTACATTCACTCCCCCCACCTACAATCCCTGCCGGACTTGAGACTCGAACTCGCAACCTTTGGGTTACGAGTCCGACTCTCTAACCATTAGGCCACGACTTCCCCACAATCCAAAATGCATAATTCATAAAGTTCATGCCTGCATACAATGTTAGCATTAAACCTTATGACACAGGGTTAAGATACCAGTGAACACTAGAAATGATGAACCATTCTCCTTGTTCAGTAAAACAATAAAATTGATCCCAAAAAGATGAAATATAACAGGTGACATGTAAGCTGCAGGGAAATATCTTCTCAGAAGATAGAATTTCTTTCTTTTTCTTATTTCTTTTTTTCCCCACAATCCTCCAATTTTCCACAAAGACTGCACAAATTCAACTTAAAGTGCAAAAATCCCTATTTGATCCATCATGTCTACCTGACTGACCTGAAGCATAACAGAACTGAGCAGTGGACACACAATGGAGGAAAAACTAAAACTCATTTAAAAATCAAACATTTTCATTAGTCTGCAAAATATAAAGTATAACAACATAACACTAGCATACACTAAAACATTAGTGTCGGGAATGGAAGCGAGTGATATTTTTTTTCTTTTGACATTTGTTACTTGCTTCAGGATTTGGTTTCTCAGTAGCTTATATCAACTAATATCAGAGTCTGACTGTCCAGCATGAATGTACAGATTGCATTGTTATAGGACCATGAATGTCAGCAAACACATACAGTAGTCTTCCCATGCTGCTGAAGCAGCGCTTGGACATTTTCAGACTGTTTCTGACCATTGCCGCCACCACCACTCCTCGCCGAGGACTGTGCACTCTGTATCTTTGAGGATGTACATGAGGACTCTTTAAGAGGGGACTGGGACAAACTACGACGGGGTTTCTTCAGCACAGGTGAGGAGGAGTCCTCTAGCACCCGCTTGCCTGTAGGCATTCTGTCACAATGGGCCTCATTTTCCAATGTGTCATTACAAGGCAGGTCTTCAGAGTTTGTAAGGCTATCGGGAGATGATTCAAATATCATGCTTGTCTCACAGCTGCCATTATGCTGCTCCGGGATGGGCTGTACTTGAACGTCAGGAACCTAAAAAAAAAAAGAAGGAACTATATTTGAAGCTTGAGTGTTGGTGTTATTTTGAATCAAAATCCACAATATAATACAAAAGAAAAACAACTGCCTTTTAAAATGAAGCAGGCCTTAATTAATTAAATGGAAACTGGTGTTGTATTATTAAAAGAACAGTTCACCCCAAAAAAGAAAAATTGCAGAAAATGTTCTCACCCTTAGGCCACCCAAGATGAAGATGAGATTGTTTGTTCATCGGAACAGATTTGAATAAATTCTGCATTACATCGTCTGTTCACCAATGGATCCTATACAGTGAATGGGTGCCGTGAGAATAAGTCCAAACAGCTGATTAAAACATCATAATAATCTACAAGCTGTGTGTTTATAATTAACAAAACCATAATTTTTTTTTAATTAAAAGAATTGCTTTCAGCTAGAATACAAATCCTCTATTCATAATATAGATTTCTCCAGTGAAAATGTTGTCTTGTCTAAATCAGGAGAGAAATATGCACAGATCAAGCACTGTTAACAACTGAAAATAGTCCAAAACAGTTTTAAACAAATATGTCAGTGGATTTTGATGTGAGAGGACAACAGAGGATAGATGTTTTCCACTGGAGGAAGCGTTATTATGGATTATGGACTGGTATTTTTGCCAGAACCAACAGTTTAAAGTGAAAACGCCTTATTGATGGATTTGTTTCTTATAAACACACAGCTTTTCACTTCCGAAGACGTCAATTGGTGAACAGTCTGTTGTGGATTACTGTGGTGTTTTTATCAGCTGTTTGGACTCTCATTCTGACAGCACCCATTCACTGCATTGGATCCACTGGTGAGCAAGTGATGTACTACTATATTTATCCAAATATATCCCGATGATGAATCAAACTTCTACATCTTGAATAGCCTGGTGTGAGTACATTTTCAGCAAATTTTCATTTTTGGTTCTACTATGCCTTAAAATAGAAAATCTAAAACATTCCTAACCTGAGTGGGCAAAGAGTTGGTGCAAGATTTAGGAACGGAGCCACACTTTGGTCCTTGTAGATTATACACAGTCTCGTAAGGTGGCAAACACTCAGCGGATGTCCCGAACGGCTCCAAACAGATAACAATGGCACTGGTATTATCAGCACGGAGCATGCGTTGACGCCATCTCAGTAAGGCATGGTTTACGAGCAGAACAGCATTTGAAACATTTTCCTTTTGGTTCTTTGCCTGTTGGAATAAACATTTAGATAAGCAAACGTTTCGAAAACACAATTAAGACCTTTCCTGAAGCATACATTTAAATTATTCACCTTGGCATAGTCATTTTCCTGGCAAATAGACACAGCCTCCTGTGGTGATACCATGTTCCATAACCCATCACTGCCCAAGATGACGTAACGGTGCTGCTTCAAATTCAGCTTGATAATAGCGGTATCAGGCTCTGGTGACACTACAAACTCTCCGCTGTAGAAGTCGTAACTCCACAGGTCACCTGAAGACACATTCATGTGCATTAAATTATAACATTTTACATACCAGTGAAATCTCACTGTTTGCTCAGTCAGGAGCAGTGACTGATTCTCTCTTTTTATTCTGTTGCTTGATTAACATTTAGGACACATACAGCAGCAGCAGCAGCATGTTGACATAATTTTACATGTATTTGTCCATTCAAACATGATAAAATTACAATTCCGTCAACTGTCCTGAGTGTCTTTCTCACACTGTTGAGCCCTGGCAACTCAGTTTAAACACCTAAACAGCCTATGTTGCAATTCAACATTCTGTTTGTCATTGCTAAAGAACAGAGAATATCATGGTGGTGTGTTGCAATTTGCAAAACAACAGACAATCTCAGCTGACTTGTTGGATGTGTTGAAACTCACTCAACATTCTAATCACTGTACAGCAACAACAGCAACAATGACCTCATGTAATGAAATAGCATAACCCTCTTACCAAGAGCTCGAGCCACAGCCAAAAATGGGATCTGATCGATGACGGTGCTCCTTCTTACTGGTCCATTGTGTGTGAGTCTGGGTCTCTTCCACACCACCCTATTGACTCCAGACTTTTTAATGACACTAGAGGAAAGATGTGACAGTGATCAGTGCTGGGTCTCATCATAGTTAAAGTTTAATGCACAAAAAAACTGCTGACCAAAGAGTCTTGTACCTCTACCTAAAACTAAGCCTGAAAACGTATTCACTAGAGTTTAAACCTTGCCCTAAGCCAAACATTTCAAGGGGCAAGACAATGATACAGGCCATTGGATGCTGGTCTGTATCATGTTGACATGCTTTTTATGTTCTTTTAGGCTAAACGACAAAGAAAGCTTGTGTTTAGGTTATGATAATGAGGACAAATGCCAGAGCATGTTTGGCTATGTTGTCCCACTTTTGAAGCTGTGGGTGCATAAACAAAAACCAGTCAGACCACTGTGGACACACAGGGCTGAAAAAAACGGGTAACGTTTTGTGTTTTCCTAATCAGTGTTGACAAAATAAAAGAATGAGGATGGTTACTTGTGAAGGTTAACCAAAAAAGCAGATAACAAGAAAGTCTACAATCAAATTGCAGCCAAACATTTCAAGGGGCAAGACATGTTGACATGCTTTTTATGTTCTTTTAGGCTAAACGACAAAGAAAGTTTGTGTTTAGGTTATGATAATGAGGACAAATGCCAGAGCATGTTTGGCTATGTTGTCCCACTTTTGAAGCTGTGGGTGCATAAACAAAAACCAGTCAGACCACTGTGGACACACAGGGCTGAAAAAAACGGGTAACGTTTTGTGTTTTCCTAATCAGTGTTGACAAAATAAAAGAATGAGGATGGTTACTTGTGAAGGTTAACCAAAAAAGCAGATAACAAGAAAGTCTACAATCAAATTGCAAAATAAGCTCATCCAGCTGCGTCGCTAGCACATGCCTCCACATATTGTTTACCAAAAGCAGAAGGTACCAAGAGTGTGTGAATACAGTTTGTTAACATTAGTTGTGTGTAAGCTTACTTGTTTTATTAGAACAACTCACCTGCCACCAAGCCCCTCTATTCTCTCCCTTTCCTTTGGGAGTTCAGGTTTGTGGTCCTGTGTAATTTCTACAGCTCGAATGAACTCGTCAGAGGGGTGATCCTGCACCCCCAACACCACCGCCGAGTCCCCAACATGGGCAACATACATACGATCACGTCGTATTACAACAATACTTGCAGTTGTACCAGAAGTGCTGGGAAGTCCTGTAACCGTCTTTGGCCATTCCGCTAAAAGAAAGCAGATTATAAAGTTTTCAAAAACAGATCAGGGATGAATTACTCTTTCTGTTTAAAATGGATGTTTCACACAAAAATTAAAATTCTGTTATACATGTGGAAGAAAAAAAGCTAATATTTGGCAAAATGTCCAATTTGTTTTTTCTTTCTTTGCAATGAAAGTGCATGAAGTCCAAGGACACAATACATTCTGCTTGAACTTTCTATCATGCAAGAAAGTCCTAGAGGTCTGAAATGAAGGTGAATAAATTAAAAACATGCTTTTAATGCAGAATCAATGAGATACTGATGAGTTTTACAATTGGTCAAAAGAATTTAGGTCACACCCTACTCAGCTAGTCCTAACTTGATCTCCAATGCTATATTGTGCCTATAATAAATACATTGTATTTGTTGTTTGTTTTGGTTTATGCTAATATGTATTTAATAAGTTAACACATTATTGTTTGTTGTGGGTACTCAGTTAAATCACGGAAGTGAACCGCTATTAATGACGTATTATTTGATAAAAATGTGTGTTTGTGTGCGTTTCACTCACTTTCTTGACGAGCGTGACTGACGCGCTGCAAGCAGAGAGCTGTATATCTAATTTCTGTTCACCTTCAGAGTAATTTAGAGCATTTGCAGTACATTCGTACGGCAGACGTAAGTGCCGTTATGTACTGAAGCTTTGGAAACAAAACCAACGGTTCAAAAACATAAATATAAAATTGAAGAGAGCCTTGCTACGCATTTTGCCGTCTTCTCCTGCGCCATTGTTACTACGCAACGGGGTAAACAGCTGCTGGCTTGATGACGCAAACGAACCGCGGTTCGGACCCAAATAATATAATGTGAACACAGTCCAGCGGGGGGAGGGGGGAGCAATCGAACTCGGGGTCGGACCAAGCAATCGAACCAAGTGTGAAAGCACCCTTTGTCGCCCTCCATAAGGGGGCGACCCGCTCTGTGTAGAAAACAGCTTATTTTAGAAGAATAACAAAACTACTATTCCTCTCATGTGAGTTTACATAGGTTTAAAATTTATATCTGAAAAAAAAATCGTTAATTTATTTATTTATAAGAAAAACGTTTTAATTAGCAAAAAAAAATGACTAGGTGCGCCTTTAAGCAAACCAACTCAGTTTGCAGGTGTCTAAGGTGTTGAGCTGTTATTTCTGTAAGCAAATCACTATTCTGATCTGATGTGCTGTCACTCTAGTTCAGATATGTATTAGTTGTTGGGTGTGGCCTGCAGTGGTTGTGCAACTTCTTTTGGCGGGATACATCTGATGTTGCAACCTTCATTCAAAAAGATCAGCTGCCCTTTTCCATTGCACGTCCATAAACTGGCAGAGACTTCACAGCAGTGTTAAACGAGAACGTGTATATGTAACGTTCCATTTCATAACTTACGTAATTTCTTCCACATGGCATGGTGACAAGAGATGAATCCCTTTCGCAGAGCCGCGCACACCTCGTCGTCGTCCTCAGACCAAAAGCCTCTTTGTTTTTTAATGTGGTCCCACAAATGGCTGCGAGCAAAGCGCGCGGCGTCCGGACCCCCGTGTCCGTCGAACACAGCGAACATAGCCACAGCCCGCGGCCGACGGGCGTTTTTGGACGGGTGAGAGGAGGGCATCGACGCCTGCTGAAGAGTAGAGCTTGGTTCATTATCTTGAACATAAGTTACAGTGATAGATCCGGGGATGGAGTCTTGGATCGAAGCGTCGGGGTTTTGGTCTTTTGCTGGTGCCGCGATCTCGCCACGTTCGGCGGCGTCCAGGTCATCTTCACTCGGCTCATCCTCCTGCTTCATCGTCACTAAGTCCTCCATGTATTTCCTACCGCCTTGGTCATAATAAATACTTGCTCGACATGAAAATATCCCATCCATATTTTGATCGGACAGAAAGGCCGGTAGAATAGCAGTGTTTAATGTTTAGGCAGGACTGAGGCCGGGCGCGCTTTCCTCTTTGTTTACCTTCGATGTTGTGAGCATGCGCAGAAGCAGCATGACAGGGGTCAGTGGAAGCCCTAAGTTATTTGACCCTTGATTTGACTGAGAAGAGTCCTTGAAATAGCCATGACATAATAAAATTATAAAAACATTAACTCATATAATAATAAACTATCTATCTATCTATCTATCTTAAAGTTAGTAAATATAGTAAGGAAAAGCATGTAACATTGTATCGTCACATCACACGCATCTTTATTTATGGAATGTTTATTTCATTTCTTTATTTCATTGTAATCCAGTGTCTGTATTACAGTAGTTTTGACAATATAGTAACTAATATGGTTTTGTTTTGACTGTTCACATGGTTGAAGGATGGTGGGAAAATGGGAGATATATGTATATTTTTTCATGTTTTATTTAGAGCTTTGTTTATATATAAAATGGCTGCATTTAAACATACTACTCTGTAAATACATTTACATATGTTAGTTTTGATTGCTTCTATTGTCCTCATTTGTAAGCCGCTTTGGATAAAAGCATCTGCTAAATGATTAAATGTAATATAAGGGCATGCTTTAGATTTATACACGACTAGGCTACTAGAAAATATTATTATACATAATCTATATTATTGTATATCTGTACAAGCCATTATTTTATTTTAAGGTACAGCATTGAAGGAGTCTTTGACCTTGTGCTTATTTGTGTCAAAAGCAGTTTCCTATAGTAGTGAATCTTGAAAATCAAGAAAGACATCCAGACAGCTTATTGTGAACTGTCTAGTGAAACGGAGTGAGGTGTGTGCAGTAATTTTAGTGGACTCATTCTAGAGTAGACAGGCAGATAGATCAGATAGAATTCTTACATGTAAAGCGGTGTCCAGCAGATAGTGCTTTAAGCCTAAAAGATACAATGCACCATGATCTGATTTTGTATTGTTAGAGTATTTATGAGACTTTTATTAGTAAGTCTATGAAAGTGTAGATTGATTGACTTACTTATACCCTTTCTTTTGTTTTGTTTTTAATTGTTTTCTCTTTGAACGTCCAAGCTGTGTGTGGCAAATACAATTGGTCAAATCTCAAACTAAATGACTTTTATTTTGAAATTCCGTCTACATTGACGCTCACAACCGTTCCGGAAGTGGAAGCTGTTGTCAACGGAAGTAGATTGAGTGATAGTCGGTCTCCGTTGATCGAGTGCACCTTACAAGCCACATTTAGGGGCGCTGCACTTGCCAGAGGTAAACAGTGTGACGTTTTAAAGCTTTGAAACATTTATTTATTTGTCTATATTTCACAGACATTCATTGAATGTCTATATTTCATTTGAACTGCCTTTTTGTTTCACTTAACAAATCAAAAAGCTACGTGAGCTCGTCTCATGAATTGGGCTCAAAGACTCTTGGCAGCTTCTTTGATGATATTGATACATCGTAGTAGTCCTCACACTCGTTTCAGAGACATAATTTATTGTAAACACGCTCTGGCAATGTATTCAAACTTTCGGCTCCCTTGTTCATGGTGTTGTGTTCTCACTAATACGCTTATGCAGGGCTTTATATAGTCTGTGTTCATAAGAGGGTTTATGATGATGCCAACCTCTCCTATTGTGTGATTTGAATAGTTCTGGTCGTGTGATCAAGCATGCAATTACATTGAGGAGGAAAAATGTTTTTGCTCTCATTGCATTCGTGTCTCCTCTCGTTTAGGTTCAGGGATTTCTTCAGCTCTCCACCTTTTGCTTTAGGACGGGCTTCCAGCCATGGTGAGGCTCGCTATCATCATTCTGTTATGATTCATCATGTGAAGATGAAAAAAACTGGGGGGTCCAGATATATAACAGTTTTTGTACATTTCAGATACCTTGTATGGGGAATGGTGTTCATTTTATGTTAAATATTATCATTTAGCATTCCTAGACAAATTGTTCCCAGACCAAGAGGTCAGATCTGGTCTAAGTTTGTTCAACATGTAGACCAAAGGTGTTAAAACTGTAATATAATCAGTGTTCTTTTTCACCTGTCACTGTTTTTCTCTTTTGGTCAGTCTGCTGTGGTGGATCTAAAGACTAAGGAGGAGAAAGACGCAGAGCTGGACAAAAGAATTGAAGCTCTACGGAAGAAGAATGAGGCTTTGGTCAAGAGATATCAGGTGAATTTGAGTGCCGAATTCTGATCCACTGCTGCCACTCTGCCAGTTTGTTTATTTGGTGTACTGCTAGTAATTATTTAATTTGATTTGAAGTATTATTCATTGTACAGGGATTCAGTCCTTGAGATGTTCAGATTCAAGGCTTTTATCTTGGTCAGTTTTATTAATTCATTCAGTTTGCTTGTCTTCTCTTGTTTCACCAGGAAATACAGGAAGATAAGAAAAAGGCTGAACAGGAGGGCATCGCTGTGACAACAACTCGCAAACCCCGCCCTCATGAGCCTGAGTCTGAACGGAGAAAGACGGAAACGGAAAACGTCACAGTGACAGTTGACTTGTCCAAACCTGTTGGGGTAAAAACAGATGGCAGAATAGAATGGAATTTTCATAGAATGGCCATTTACCATAATATTCCATTATATGGCACTATCATAATTGATTCTGCAAAAAATGGAATGTCTTAAATATCAGGTGTGGTCTCTCTTGTGCAGAAACCCCTTAGAAATACAGTTTTAATTGTTTTACAGGGTCAATTTTACCTTTATAAGATATTATTTCCACCTAACATTATTAAATGTGTGCAATGCACATCATCTATTATGTCAGATTCTTATATTTAATAGGGTTGTGACGGTGAGGAAATTTTCCCACCGGTTAATCGACGTGTGACAACACCGGTAATACCGGTATCACCGCAGGGGCGGGGCGTTCCCTCTTTTCCTCGCTTTCCTTCGCTTTTAAATAGCTTGTAAAAGCGGTATGCCCATTTTACTTTCACTTTCAAATAGCCGCAATTCGGAGTAAAGCAATTGTTCGTTTTTAGTTTTAAAAATCAAAACCGACGGTGGGGGTCGGTGACACAGTGGGCAAGTGACGTAACCGGTGTTGCGGCTTAACACCGATATCACCGTCAACACCGTCTATCGCGGCGAGCCTAATATTTAATTTATAAATTCCCTTAGGATAATAAGACACTATAGGGCTGTTACCATGTAAATAAAATCAGTGTCAACAAAATCCTTGTTTGCAATGCAGAGGTGGCATGGAAGCTGCATCTGAAGTGGCATTTCGATATACTTTCACAGACTGTTTAATGCAGCTCAGAGGTGGCATTAATGCATCTACACTGCAATTGTAATCACATAAATAATGCTATGAGATAGGGCTGGACAATAATTCAATATCAATATGTATCGCGATATAATTTTTTTCAATAACGGTGATATGATTTTTAAACACATTTCCGATATTTCGATATACATTACCAGTTTCCCATACATTGATTTATTTGTGCTGTTTGACTTCGTTGAATAAACATGAGCACTGCACGTTTCAAAATCAAAAAATGTCGCGGGTGTTTTATATAAATGTATCTGTGAAGGGAACCGACTGTCTTCAGAAAAGTTTAGATGGCATTTTCATTTGATCTGATAAAGTAGCATTCATGAGCGGAGCTGCTTTGATTACAGCCATTACTGGAGAAACCGCTAGTTCTATCACTCTAAAAGCGCCTCCTGCTAGCAGAGCATGAGTTTTCATTTTAAATAAGCCCGTCTCCAGCAACATTTCCAGTTTTTGTTGTTCAATTTTTTTGTTTTCTGCAGCGACTCGGAGCACTTTTCATACCCTTTTTTTCTGGCTGAAGCACATTTGTTTCAATCTATAAGAATAATCAGCCTACACTACCAGTCAAAAGTTTTTGAACAGTAAGATTTTTAAGGTTTTTTTTTTTTTAAGAATTCTCTTCTGCTCACCAAGGCTGCATTTATTTGATCCAAAGCACAGCAAAAACAGTAAAATGTTGAAATATTTTTACTATTTAAAATTGCTTTCTATTTGAATAGATTTTAAAATGTAATTTATTCCTGTGATCATACATAGGTAAATTTTCAGCATCATTACTCCAGTCTTCAGTGTCACATGATCCTTCAGAAATCATTCTAATATGCTGATTTGCTGATTATCAATATTTAAAACAGTTGAGTAAATTTTTTTTTCAGGATTCTTTGATGAATAGAAAGATCCAAAGATCAGCATTTATCTGAAATAAAAAGCTTTTGTAACATTATACACTATTCCATTCAGTATAATTTTTATTATTTTTTTGGGAAAGAAATTATAGAAATTAATACTTTTATTTAGCAAGGATGCTTAAAATTGATCAAAAGTGATGATAAAGGCATTTATAATGTTACAAAAGATTTCTATTTCAGATAAATAGTGTTCATATCGATATCGGAATTATATCGTATCAACCGAAATTAAGAAATATATCGTGATATCAATTTTGGCCATATCGTCCAGCCCTACTATGAGATCTTAAATATTGAAATATGAATAACTGGAAATAAAACTGCCAGTAATGTTATCATAGACAATACATATTGCACACCCCTACAAAGAACAGTTATATTTGTCTTCACAGCCATAGAGTACATAGTTTGTTAGATACTTTTTGCTCTTGCTGTAAATGTAAATATTTAATATTAATAAGTGTATATACTATGTTTCTTAACTCAAGTTTGATTTTGAATCATCTCCGACCGCTAATGATTTGCATCAGCTCCAATATAGAACATGAGCATGTAGAAGTTAATTAGCACTCCCATTCCTCACAGCTCTGAGGATTTTAATTTCCCACCTGGGGAAGAATGAGACAAGCTGTAGAGCATTTTAATCAATACCTGTAGAGTTTCAGTGGATCACAGATGGCCCGCGCAGCTGTGATAGACCCACCTATCGTGGTCCGTGAAGGTCATGCCTTTCAGTAACTGCAAAAAGAGGGCATTTTCTTCAAATATACTTGTTGAACTAGACAGATGGGCATTGCACTTTAAAGAATGCGATTTCCAGTTAAAAAAAAAAAAGTAGGTATGGTTACATGTCTAATGCAGTGTTGTTATTGTTAACCAAAACTATTAAAGATGTTTCTTGTTGATTTATATAAAGAAAAACATATAACTTGTCTTGGAAATGTTGCCTTGGGAACAGAACGAAATAAAATAAGTTTACGTACTTAAAGGCAGAGTAAGTGATTTCTGGTAGCCAATGTTGATATTTGAAATCACCAAAACAAACACGCCCCTACCTCAAAAGGTTCTTGCCCCTATTTTGATAGCTCCGCCCCACATATACGTACGCAACCCAGGCAACGATTAGTTCTGTGAAACAAAGCAAAACCAATATTGTAATATACATTTATGTTTTAGTTTATTGAATTGTCTGTGTATTTCTAGGTGTAGTGAAAGTTGAGTGGCTTTGTAAAAATGGCAAAGGGTGATCCAGGAAAGCCCAAGGGCAAGATGTCCTCCTATGCTTATTTTGTGAAGACGTGTCGTGAAGAGCACAACAAGAAGAACCCTGGTGTCACGGTTAACTTCTCAGAATTTTCCAAGAAGTGCTCTGAAAGATGGAAAGCAAGTAGAATATAAAGATAATAGAATATAAAGTCAATGAAACCGAATTTAAAAAGTCTGCAGGTAGCAGCTTAAAGAAACTGTCATTTGTTTCAGACTATGTCACCAAAAGAGAAGACTAAATTTGATGACTTGGCCAAGCAGGACAAAGTCCGTTATGACCAGGAAATGATGAACTTCAATCCAGGAAAGAAAGGTCAGAAGCAGAAGAAGGACCCTAATGCTCCAAGGCGGCCACCGTATGTGCTTTCCTTTTACATGACTTATTTCTAGAGCTTATTTCCGTGATTCTGGATGGAATCTGCCCTTATTTGGTTTAGTTACTTAAATGGTTGTCTTTTTTTCCTTTTCCCAGGTCTGGATTTTTCCTGTTCTGTGCAGAAGAAAGGCCCAGCATAAAGGCTCAGAACCCCGGTCTGGGCATTGGAGATATAGCCAAGAAGCTGGGAGAGATGTGGAACAATCTGTCTGATTCTGAGAAGCAGCCCTTCCTGTCCAAGGCCAACAAACTGAAGGACAAGTATCAGAAGGTGGAGCATGACCTCTCTCAAAATGCTGTTCATTATTCAGTGTGGATAGTGTTGAACAAATGAGCGATTGATTTCTGAAGGGTCCTGCGGCACTGGAGAAATGGCTGCTGAAAATTCTGCTTTGCCATCACAGGAATAAATTGCATTTTAAAATGCATTCAAATAGAAACCATTTTAAATCGTTGTAATACTTTACAATATTACTGGTTTACTGTATTGTTTATTCAGTGCAGCCTTGATTAGCGTAAGAGTTGTGTTATAGTGTTTTGTTTTCTCAGGACATGGCTGACTACAGAGGAAAGGGGAAAGGAAGCGGAGGGGCATCATCTGCCAAATCCAAACCCAAGGATGACGATGATGATGATGACGACGATGAGGAGGAGGATGAAGAAGAGGAAGATGAGGATGACTAAAGAACTCGTTTGTCCTAATTGGGCAGCAAGTTATTTGTTCGCTGCCAATTAGTATCAGTTAAGTCTGGGTCTAAGAGGTCTTGATGTCAAGGCTGCTATAAACTGATCACCAGTAGAGATGCCCAATGCATGCAAGCTCTGACTTTAGACAACCAAACTTTCTCAGTGCTGGGTTTGCTGGTGGTCCAGTTACAGCTTGCTATTAAACTGCATTGGCAAAAACAAAATATTTCCACACCGTTCAACAATAAACAAAGTGGTAGCAGTACATACTCTTTTAAAACTATTTAAGGTGGTGTGTTTCTGTGTGGCTGTTGACGTAGTTATTTTTTATTTTTTTTTTCTACTCTTCCCAGCTTTCAAAATGCACAATTTGTTGCTATATTTAAAGTTCAGTTTCGTTCGGCCCCATAAGCTTCCTGCATTGTTGAAAGGATGTTTGTGAATTGTGGTTATATTATTATTTGTGTAATTTTGACTGATTACATTGATAATTTTATGTGTGGAGAGTCTAGGGACATTTTCAGCTTTAACCAGAGGCAAGTGATGAAATGTTAAGCTGGGGAAAGCTCTTATTTGCACCTTCAGTTTTTTTTTTTTTTTTTATGTCTAGGTGACACTGTGATTTGAAATAAACATGGCATTTTTAGATCTCAAATGATTCAAGCGACTTTCTTATCTGCAAAATGTAGTGTGTAAATACTTGGGGTATTTGTCAATGTTATCAATAAAAGGATAAATGGTTATAGTTTCTTTTAAGAGTGCTCATTTAATTTGGATTTGTTGTCATTCTCTCCAATTAATCATAACTCTGATAATGCATTGACTGGGGTGAGCCACTAGATGTCAATGGAGGGCATCTATTGCACAAACTGTTTTAAAGGCAGAGTAAGGGATTTCTGGTAGTCAATGTTTATATTTGAAATCACCAAAACAAACACGGCCCTACCCCAAAAGGGTCTTGCCCCTATTTTGATAGCTCCGCCCCACATATACGTACGCAACCCAGGCAACGATTAGTTCTGTGAAACAAAGCAAAACCAATGTTACACCGTGTCTACGGATGTGAGCGGCGCGGCGCAACAAATCCCGACAGAAAACTGCTGCCGGGTTCTATTTATGACGTGCTGACACAAATTTCAAATGGTTTTCAACGGTCGTTTGATCGCGTCCAGTGTAGTCAGACTTTAGCTGTTGTAGACACGGTGTTACTCACCTATTGAGAAGAAACAAAGCAACCTCGGCGTCCGATCGCAGGCCTCCGCTCCTTGAGTTCTCTCCAGCACTGGAAAGCTGATCCAATATTTTACACGGGTCCTACTTCTTGCCTTATTGTTCCGCAGACGTTTTCCTCTTTTGTTTTTTATCCTCCATCTCTATCTTTCTGTCGCTCGGCTCGGCTAATGTCCGTCCCATGCACTGAACGCGCTCTCCTCCACATCACGAGTAGACACGCCCCTTATTGCTGATTGGCTACAAGTTTGTTTTGCGATTCGGCCCGAATCAGTTTTCTAAAGTGTTTTTGAAAAATCACTTACTCTGCCTTTAAAATTACTACTTAAACTGAAGTAAAAATAAATAGAAGCTAAATATTATTAATAAAACTAATAAAAATGACAAAAGCACATCAAATTTCTAAACTCTGAATTCTTAAACTAAAATGAAAACTGAACATATAAAAATAGACTAATAAATTAAATACTCTATGCTAAGATTAATAAATACTATATACTAAAATTACATTGGTCTTATGAACTTATGATCTAAAACATTTTTACTCTTGGACTAAAAACCTCTTAAACTTCATATTGCCTTTCTAGGAAAAGCGTGGGGTGAATGACAGGAAACCAGCTGCTCATCGTGGTGACCAGGGCCCAGAAGAAGAAGAGTCTGGTCGGCCTCATGGTGAGAGTCCCCCGCACAGAACCGGATCGGGTCGGCTGAGCAGAGGTGGCCACCACAGTGGAAGAAGAGAGCCTCGTTCAAACAAAGGCGAACCATGGTCGGAAAGGCAACCTCAGGATGGTGAAGGTGGAGAGGGTCCAGCTCGAAGTGAACGCTCCTCTAGAGGAGGGCAGAGAGGAGGAAGAGGTGGAGGTGGAACTCAAGGAGGATCAGGCTCGGACAGGAAATCAAAGGTCACTATTGACGGTCACCAGTGACCTTTTCTAATCATTTTGTAATTGAGATATTGTAGAACATAGTTGTGGTACATTAATTTACTTACAAAGTCATTTGTAGGTGTGTATGACACAAAATGTACAGAAAGGAAAACACAAGTCCCACATTGCAGTTGTCTGCAAAATGAATTATTTGTACACAGCAGTGCTTCTTCAAGCCTGTTGTATCATTGTAAGACAAAACATTCAATTCAATTCAAGTTTGTTTGTATAGCGCTTTTCACCATGCAAATCATTGCAAAGCAGCATTACAGAAAATTAAAGTTTCTGCATTATATTTAGTAATAGCTTATCAGTGGTGACTATCTCAAGTTGATGTCCATATGGCAGAAATGTACGGTAAAAATCAAGCAGTTAGTTAATGTCATGTAATGCAAAATTTGGTAGTTTTGTATGTTGTCTGAGGGTTGGCATCATCTGAGGTCCTCTGGGGGGTTGGCAAACTTGGCATCATCTCTTCTCAGGTGTTCGGTCATCTCAGGTCTTTGTAATGGCTGGATCCAGACTGAAGCTTGTGTAATTCCTAGTTACATCCCGTGGCAGGAACAGAAAAGGTAATAGAGAAAAAATAGCATAGCTGCTGTTCCAACTAAGCAAAAAATGATGTGATCAACCCAAGCAAAAGAATGAAAATGTGCATTTGATCAGATATAACTGAAGTACAAGGTTATGAGATATTGTAGTCCAAGAGATTCTGTGTACTGTTTTTTGGTCCAATAAGTAATATCTCGGTCTTATCCGAATTTAATAGGAGAAAATTATTGGTCATCCAGTCTTTTACATTTTAGTAGGAATTTCGCAAGCAATGGCAGGAAGTATTCTTAATATTTTTTTAATGTTTTAGATCATTCTTCTTCGAAACAGCAACACAGATTTAGTTTTTAAACACTAGCATCATAATTGATATCCAATTTCTCAGGAGTGGGAGGAAAAAAGAAGACAGAACATAGAGAAGATGAATGAAGAGATGGAAAAGATTGCTGAATATGAGAGAGGTCAAAGGGTATGTTTTGGTCAACCCAACTTTCTCTTTTTATTGTATCATTCCATTTCCAATGTGATACATGCGCACATACACACTTAACATTTATTTTTTTGCAGGCTGATGGAGAGAAGAACCCCATCAGAAACTTCCTTGATGACCCACGGCGTAGTGGGCCGATACCAGAAACTGACCGCAAGGAGGGAAGCCGGCGACATGTGCGCAATTGGGGTGGTGTTGACTTTGACAGTGTGAAGACTGGTGCAGAGGTTGAGAAAGAATGGACGGTACTAAGCAGATGGACTTGTTTGGTTTCATATTTCAAATAATTCCTGATCTTTTACTTTTTTTCAAATAATCCTAAAAAATGTTTCAAAGTTTCCACAAAAAGCAGAACTGTGTTCAACATCATAGAGAAGATGAATGAAGAGATGGAAAAGATTGCTGAATATGAGAGAGGTCAAAGGGTATGTTTTGGTCAACCCAACTTTCTCTTTTTATTGTATCATTCCATTTCCAATGTGATACATGCGCACATACACACTTAACATTTATTTTTTTGCAGGCTGATGGAGAGAAGAACCCCATCAGAAACTTCCTTGATGACCCACGGCGTAGTGGGCCGATACCAGAAACTGACCGCAAGGAGGGAAGCCGGCGACATGTGCGCAATTGGGGTGGTGTTGACTTTGACAGTGTGAAGACTGGTGCAGAGGTTGAGAAAGAATGGACGGTACTAAGCAGATGGACTTGTTTGGTTTCATATTTCAAATAATTCCTGATCTTTTACTTTTTTTCAAATAATCCTAAAAAATGTTTCAAAGTTTCCACAAAAAGCAGAACTGTGTTCAACATTGATAATGGTAAGAAATGTTTTTAAGCACCAAATCAGCACATTAAAATTATTTCTGAAGAATCATTTGACTATGAAGACTGGAGTAATGGCTGCTGAAATGCAGCTTTACCAGCATAGGAATAAATTACATTTTAAATTGTTAAATTAGAAATTGGGAATTTTAAATTGTAGTAATATTTCACAATTTGACTGATTTTACTGTTAAAATCATACCAACCCCACACCTTTAAATGGTAGTGTAATGGTAGAGACCAGCATATTATTCATACATTCAAACTTTCTTTCTCTCTTTTTAATCTCATAACAGAATCGTAGGCCAAGTGGTAAAGGGTCAGTGGATATGACTCTGTCCATGACTGGTCGAGAAAGAGCCGAGTATCTCCGCTGGAAAAAGGAGCGAGAGCAGATTGACGAAGAACGACTGGCTCGTCACCGTAACGCCACTGGCCAGTGGAGACGAGAGTGGGATGCCCAGAAAACGGATACAATGTGAGTATCAAAGACATAAATGCTCACTATTGTAGCAAGATTATGCCATATAGCTATGGAATCCTTAAAGGGTTAGTTCACCCAAAAATGAAAATTAGCCCATGAATTACTCACCCTCAAGGCATTCTAGGTGTATATGACTTTCTTCTTTCAGACGAATCCAGTTGGAGTTATATTAAAAATTGTCTAACATCTTCCAAGCTGTTTAATGGCAGTCAGCGGGTGTTGCAGTTCGTCAGTCCAAAAGAAGTGAAATAAAGCACATCCATCCATAATAAAAAGTGCCTCACATGGCTCCGGGGGGTGAACAAAGGCCTTCTGTAGCGAAAAATTAGAATAGATTAATATCGAGATATCGATATTTTTTACCCAGCCCTAACATTCACTATATGGCAAAGAGAGGCCAGTACATTTCTCTTTTTGTGTTCATCAGAACAGTATCATGAATGACATAAATGATGACAGAATTTTTATTTTGAGTTGAATTATCCCTTTAATGTCAGCTGTAACAATTTTGTTTCTGTCCGAGTGTTAAAAAGAGAGGTAGATAAATACTCAGTGTCTAGGAGTAATTTATGCTGACAGGGTGAGAATGAGATGACCAGTGACCCTGTGGCGTTTTCGCAGGTTCAAGGAGGACTCAGCTGTGTCTGGAGAGGGCACACAAGAACAAAGCAACAGGAGAGGTAAATCACACACAAATACTTCCACACCCATCACAGTGACCACCTGACACCTGTTCTACACAAAACATGAATGTCACCCCACAGTTTTACAGTGTCTATTACTTCATACAGCAAGCCAATAGACTATAATACTCCAACAAAAGCATAGAGTAGTTACAGGTACACGTTTATACACATTTGTGACCCTGGACCACAAAACCAGTCTTAAGTCGCTGGGGTATATTTTTAGCAATAGCCAAAAAAAACATTCCTCAATTTAAAAAAAAAATTGACCCTTATGACTGGTTTTGTGGTTCAGGGTCACATTTATTACATTTCTACTTTGTGAAACTTGTGTCTGTGGCTCTTTGGTGATGTTTTGTGCTGTGGTTTCTCAGCAGCTAGGGGGCGCAATGCCCATGTACAGCAACGCAGTGGACCTTCAGGTCAGCTTAAGGCATGGGACTGTGTGTGTGTGTGTGTGTGTGTGTGTGTGTGTGTGTGTGGAGTGTCTCTTTGCCCTGCTTCACATTAGCCCTAGTCTGAGTGCAAGCCAACAGCTGTTCCTGCACTGATAGTTTCTAATTGCTCTCCACTCCTCCATAATAAGTTACAGAGGGGCGTGTGTGTGTCTGATTGGATTATCTATTGTCTAAAATGCAGCTCGCTGGATAGCTGAGATAACATTTCCTCATCATTGCTTTCTGCCAGTTGCCCAGCCATTATTTCAAACTTGCTTCCCATTCATTTTGCAGAAAACATGCACCCGGCAACTCCTTGCATTCTTGACTTAAGTGACCTTTTAAGTGAGTCCGAAATTCTCGTCTGAAATTTTGGCACGTAAAAAATTAAATACGACCTCATGTTGTGTCAATCACGTTTACACACTGCCTCCAAAACTTTTGTCCGTCATAAAAAAATTTGAATCAGGTTTGATTTTCTGCGTTTTCGCATCCGTAATAAGCATTTTGATAGGAAAGGATGACGAATACGAAAAAACGCATACGAAAATCTTGGACTCGGTGTGCAAAGACCTTAACTCCTTAAAAACTCACAGTAAAAGCAACACTAGCAACAACTGTAAACAAAGAAAAATTTTCCTGTGGCCTGTTGCATGAAACTATTTGAACAAACTCTAAGTTGACAAAATCTAAATCCTTCTTGAGCCCGAAAACTCAGAGTTTGCTCAAACTAAATGCAAACTTACCTGGGTAAAAACCGAAGCTGGCTTTTTGCAACAGGCCTCTGGACACTCTAGTTTAGGCTAATTAGGGGTTAAATACGTCTGTAACTGTTCTTCATCTTAATGTTCTTTTAGCATCACCAGTCATTTTCAGCCCAGGTATTTGTGGATCAAAAAAGCATTAAATTGTCTCAAATTCATTCATAGATTTTAAGACCATAAAATATCTTAAATAGTGTAGAAAAAAGGTCTTGTGATTTGTGGAGATGTTTAATTTGCAAATTAATAGACAGGAGATGCTTCAAGGCCTGTAGTTTCCTTTAAAGGCAACTAATTTCATTTCTAACTCATCCCAATATCAAAAAGTATTTAGATTTATATAAAATGTTGATAATGTTCTACAAGCATTGTTAATGTTTATTATTTAAAATTTATTTCTGCTTTATTTTATACAATAATATAATATATTATTGTATAAAATAATATAATTATTATTTATATTAATAAAACAAAAACAATTTGTTATCATTTTTAGATCTGCACTGTGAGAAGTGTTCTGTTATGTTCAGGATTGTAGCATACTTCCAATTGGCTTATACTCAAACGACATTCCCCTGCTAAGGCACGATCCTCTAACTAACATCACTCTTTCCTTAACATTGTGATTTTTACATTACATTTTTCTCTAGAATATTGATATTCAAAAGCTGTCACTCATAACAAACCTAAGTACCTCTTTTGCATCAAAGAAAGTTTTGCAGCTTTTGACACATGCTCATTTGCTGATGTCTTGGCTTCATTTGGGTACTTCTGAGTTCAGTCCAGCAAAACTAAATATCCTAATCAAAAACAATGTGTTATCATTTTTAGATCTGCACTGTGAGAAGTGTTCTGTTATGTTCAGGATTGTAGCATACTTCCAATTGGCTTATACTCAAACGACATTCCCCTGCTAAGGCACGATCCTCTAATTAACATCACTCTTTCCTTAACATTGGGATTTTTACATTACATTTTTCTCTAGAATATTGATATTCAAAAGCTGTCACTCATAATAAACCTAAGTACCTCTTTTGCATCAAAGAAAGTTTTGCAGCTTTTGACCCTTGCTCATTTGCTGATGTCTTGGCTTTGAGTGCTTCACAAACCCAGTATCTACCTCACAACGTTCAAGTCGAGTCTCATCACACTGCTGTCAAATCAAGGGTACATTTGCATGTTTTTCTCATCCATTCTCTTCCTCTCATCCTGAAGAGTGATGCATAGAGGGGCAATCCATCAGAATGACAGGGGGCCATCTGTTACTTTGAGCCCAGGGTCATCTCTCTCCACCACAGTTTTCAGACGCAGAATTGTTTTCCAAGGTCTTGCTCAGCCCCACATCACCCTTCAAAGATAAATATTGCTGTAATCTCTCTTATGCAGAAGACAGCAAGCCGCCTAAGGCACCAACCTTTGGGGACTTCTTGGGACAGGGCAAACCCAGACAGGGAGGCCGTGGGCGAGGGAAGGGTCACGGTCAAGGCAAAAGCTACAGGTATGCAATAGTCCTTCGCACTGTGGAAAATGATCCACACCAGCATTGCTCCTAGAGCAGGGGGGTCCAGTCTGCTCCTGAAGGGCCATTTGTGTCCTAGCGGTCTTATTATGGCTTAACTAGACCATTTTTTCTTTCCCGTGTTGATGTCCTATTAAAACATGTAGTATGGGACATATCAGCCCTGCCCTATACATTTTACAGTCCACTCTTGGGAACATAAATGCCTCATGCGCAGGCAACAAGTGACCCATAAGTGCACCATTTGGGATGGCCCCATTAAAGAGTTTGTCCCTCTAGTAGCCACTAGGCTTTAGTTATGTTGTCTAAACCTTGGTCCAGTTTCCACCTGGTAGTAAGATGCATTTTCTGCGATCTGATCACAAGTAGTCAGATGCATTATTAGTTCCACCTGGTATTAACATTAATTTCAAATGCATCTGAAGGAGATGAACATATGTTACTGGGGTTAGTGAGCAGGCAGCGAGTAGGTGGTGCTCTGTGCTCTGGGACTCATTCAGGGCGGATAGCGTTTCCACTACAATGTGGTCATGTGTTTCTGACTACATATATATGTGGTTTCCAGGATCCGCTTGTGATCAGATCACAAAAACGCATCTTAATACCAGGTGGAACCTGTGATTGCTATTTGGAGCAGGTGGCATTATAGGTTGAGAAATTATCCTTCTAGACTGCATTTGATTAATTAATGTTCATTGACCAACATACTTCCTTCCTAAAGCATGCATGATAATCGGTGGGAAGGAGAAAATGAAGAGGAGAAAGGAAGAAAGGAGGAGCAAGAGAAGGAGAAAGATGAAGAGAAGGTCAAAGAGAAGGAAGACGAGAACAAGGATGACACCCTCAAGGCTCCGTTGTCAGACAAGGTAAGAGGCCTGAAAACACTTATTAGGTACTGAGTATCATGGTACAAAGATTTCTTTTGAAGAGCCTTATGAATGAAGGTTGCTTTTAATTAGTCTGTGTTTCAATTGTTCCTGACCTTCACCTGCTGTGCAGAAAACTGATGGAGGCCTTGCTGAAGAGGATGATGATGAGTGGGAGGATGCTAGCGATGGTGAAGAGGAAGATGTGGAAGAGGATGAAAAAGCAGTTCACGAGGAAGACTCAAAAGATGCTAAACCAACAGAAAAGACCCCTACCTCTCCTGCACCCTCTACTCCCAGCCCAAAAGAACAACGCACCCCAAGACCCAAAGTCTACATCCCTTCCCCACAGGAGACGCTCAGTACACCAGAGGGACCTAAACCCCTCAGCCCTTTCTCCCCACTGGACGGCCACCAGCCAGTATCAGACTGGGGTGAAGAAATGGAGATGCTTTCTCCTAAGATCAGTCTGGCCGAGAGCCCTCTGAGGCCCAGCAGCACTGAAAGCAGTCCAGCTCAACCCAAGAGCAACCCGGCTGAACATAACATGACGACCACCCCCAGCCAGCCAGAAGAACCAGAAAGCAAAGAAAGTACATCTACAGGTGGAATAATTATGGTCTTTATTTAGTATTTCACAGTTTCTCTTTTTAGCAGTGCTTGTTAAGACACTTAGCAAGGTCTGGGGTGTGCTTCATTTTCCATCTGCCATTACATCTCACACATGGTTAAAGGGGTCATATGATGCGATTTCAATTTTTCCTTTCTCTTTGAAGTGTTACAAGCTCTTGGTGCATAAAGAAGATCTGTAAAGTTGCAAAGACTCAAATCCAAAGAGATATTCTTTATAAAAGTTAAGAGTCAACCACGCCTACCTAAAACGGCTCATTCTAACACGCCCCCACATATCTACGTCACCCAAATGTTCACGCAAAGAAAGAAGCCCGCTGTACTGTAGTATTGTTGCTGCCGCCATGTCGTGAAGATGCTGTGTGTTTCGTTGTGAAAGCGAAAGTACTTTGTTTGGCCTTCCAAAAGAGGACGATATCCACTTTGTCATGCCTAGAGCTGATCCGTGCTGGTCGCTGAGGAAATACATCAACTTCGCACTGTGGATCGCTGGATCGGCTTTCACCGTGGACGAAGCAGAGTCCAGCCCGGGGTCGTCACATGTGGTTGCCGCAAGCCCGCCGGCCGCTCCTTCGTCGAATCCGCCGGCTGCGCCGTTCTCAAGCCCGCCGGCCGCCGCTCAGCAGTGTAGAGTAGCGCTTGTTGTTTGTCATTTCTCCGATCACAAATGCAGACATGGATTTATGTTTACGCCGCGCGATGCAACGCGTCAAAAGACAGTATAAGTCATTATTATTAATTAATTAGAAATTAATTATTTGCGCAAGTATGTTACATACAAAGTCAATGCGAAGACGCTAATAAACGTGAATTTGCGTCGAGCGATGCGATTACGCACGATACGAGAGCTACGCACGAGAGCACGATAACTGTGCAAGTTGAATAATTCTAACTCGAGTGGAAAATTCGCATAAAGCGTTGTTGCGTAAGCCAATTAGAGAAGAGCTTATTTTCATGTCCGGTTGTATCATAAAATGGAGGAGAGCATTACATGATGTCCTTATTCATGCGAGTGACACAACAAACATCCCACGAGTAATCTAGAGTGCTAAGGCTATGCGAATACTCGCTTCGATTTTGGTGTGCCCACACCATTATACTTCAGCTTCCGTTGTTTTTATTTCCTTTTTCTGATTCTTACTACAACTAGTTTTTGTAAGCAACAACCCAACTGTTAGTGTTGCCCCTAGTGGAGCCACTAAGTAGGGCAGTCAATTCCATGCATGTGTGATGTATGTGTGCATGTGTGAAATATAAATATTAGATGAAAAACTTTGGTATCTTAGTAGTGAATCTTAATTGTCTTTTCACATTCAGTGGTGGAGTCCGCTTCCTGTGAAACGCCAAAGGAGCCTGTACCAGCTGAATCTGCCGACACAACCACCTCGAGCAGCCATGGCACAGCAGATCCCGTACTGCCGCCCACCCCAGACAGCGCCAACCAGAGCAGTAAGTCAAAACAATTAATTAACTCACAAAGTTTGAATTATGGTTTCCTCCAAATGAACCATTAATTGTACTCTCCTGCATATCCTGTTTATCCTCTTATTCAGAGGAAAGCAACGACCCTATTGTAGAGCCGGATCAGAGTCGGCCTGAAACGAAGGTTGTGGAGGATATGGCAGTGGATTCTTCAGATCAACCATCCTCAGGTGCTGTTCTTATTACCAGTTTTGAGACTGTGGCTTTTCGAAAGAGGTCCCTTACTTCAGCTGACTTCTAACTACTAACCAACGTCCTCCCCTTTTCTCTGTGCACTTCAGTCTTTCTGGTCTCTCTGTCTCTCCCTCCCTGTTCACTACACTCATGTCTCCTTTATGTTCCCGTGTCCATCTGTCTCATGGCATGAGATGGCGTCTGCTATCGGGCTTGTCTCTATCGTCTTTGAAAAATGGGAATGCAGCTCCTCAGGCTATGACAGTCCTCCCCTCTGGGACTGACTGCTTCTGTCTGCAGCTTCACACTGGCTGTCATTCTCCACTGTGAACCTTGCACACCTCCTCCAGCACGACTAATATCCCACGTTTACTGTGCTCCTGGATCCCCCTCATTGTCGTTCATGCAGCTCTTTGATTTCACACCTTTCCCTGGATGTTTGGATATGGGTTTTGGCTTTTTCCCCTTTCATGCATGTCACAAACTGCTTGAGCAAGTAAGTGTTGTTTTGATTTTTATTCCATTTTTGCAAAAGCATATATATGTGGGAGTGTGTGGACTGCAAACGTGAATGATCTATAACATCATCCCAACAGGATCCCATTTGATCGCTGTTTAGGATCATTATCATTGTGGGGAAAGCTGTTTGGCTTTTCTCCCAGAGCAGCTTGCAGAGATGAATTACACAGGGTAAACCTAATGTGGTTCCAGAGACTGTTTGGAATCTTATTAGATTTCATGTCATTTTAATGTTCATTATGTATGAAATGTTTATCAAGCCACACAGAATGAATGTACACCAGAGTTCAAATAGCTATGTTTCCATCCACCTATTTTTATGTGCATTTTGGAATATCGCATAAAAAACCACTGGATGGAAATGCTAAGATGTGCATAAATTCTAAAAATGTGCATAAAAAAAACTTATGCTCACAATTGAGTAGGATAAACTTTTTATCCGCTAAGAAAGAAATGTGCATAAACTACAATGGAACACGTTTACCGAATAAATTCCACCATGCGCATCAAAAAAGTCATGTGACTTTGCACGGTTGGACGGGATAACTTGTCTAACCAGCGGACTGATCTCGTTCCACAGCATGTGAAACGTTCTGAAATGCCTGAGCAAAGTCTGTCATCAAAGTAAGTCTGTAAAATTGTCTTACACGACTGCGTTCCCAAACAGCAGGCATCCACCTCCGAAAGCAATGACCGCATTTATTGTGTTTCGTCTGCTTGCTCTGAGGTACAATTAATTTATCATATATGAAAATTATTATATTTAGTGGCTTCTCCTACTTTTCTGATTGATATTTAGTGCCAGTTTATCAGGAAGTGACGATTTTATTCTCTTTGACTCGTTGGATGGAAACGGTGCTTTATTTGCAAATATTTTGTTATGTTCCAGTTTTGCGCATAAGTAAAATTCGCATCTTTGGATGGAAACATAGCTAATGATGGTAGTTTTTGCAAATAAAACCCATTGTTTATTCGCATAGACTGTAAAAAAATAAGTCCTCCGAGATGATCAGGGTTCCTGCAGTTTTAGAAAACCTGGAAATATCAGGAAATTTTAAAATCATGGAAATTTGTGCGTAATCTTAGTCTTTTTACTCATTTTGAATAAAAGACTTGACACGTGATGTGTTTGGATGGGTATATGGTGGCTTAAATAAGCCTCCGTAATCTCTGTAAAATGTTTCTTAAGATTCCTTATACAGTAATCACGAACAACTGGAAATGTCATGGAAATTCTTTGATTACAAGAAATGGGAACCCAGTATCACATTCAGTTACAAAGCAAAGGAAAATCAAAACTAAAAACAAGCCTAGCCAAACATTATGAAAGAATAATTAAATTGGTGGCCTTTATTCTCATCAGTTTTTTTTTTTTTTTTTTCTAAAGTCTGAAATTTGAATTATCTCTTTTTTTTAATTGCCCTTTTGAGGTGTGGTCACATTCACCGTTCAGCAAATTTTCACAGGCAAATCCAGTCATTTCAATAGGAATCCATGCAATCTGGAATTTAATGTGAAGGCTAAGTATTTCCCCACAGATTGTACAATAGGTTTAAGTTGGTCATGCAAATTTGCCATGTTGACCAAAACAAAGCTGCTTGGTTTGATTAAGAAAATGGCTTTAGTGTGAGCGTTTCATCATACATCACTGCACTGTCGACAACAGACAATGGACCTTTAGTTCCTGTGAAATTTTGCCGAAATATCACTGATGTGACTGCATCTTATTCTGTACAAAGTACTCTGTCGCTGTAGGATTTTTACTTATACAAGTGATGAATTTGTAGTTTAGTATAAACTTGTTGACATTTGGCACAATGCTGGAATGGCGAATAAATGTTGTGCTGCTTGTTACTTTTAAAGGGGTGGTTCATTGCGATTTCACTTTTTTAACGTTAGTGTCTAATGTTGCTGTTTGAGCATAAACAATATCTGCAAAGTTACAAAGCTGAAAGTTCAATGCAAACGGAGATATCGTCTTTTAAAATTCTGGCAGTTTAATGCCTACAAAAACGGCTCGTAGTTACTTCCTGGGTTCGTGACATCACAAACCCATATAAACCCCGCCCTCGGGAAAAGGCAATCAGAGAAGGGACCAAGAGGTGTGGAATAAAGGTAAATTATGTGAAAAATAATAATGCGTTTTTTTTTAAACGAAGCATTAACACATGTTAGACTGTACCCCATAAACACAATCAAGCCTAGAAAAAAACCCAGTGAACCACCCCTTTAAATGTCTCCCTTTCCCTTTGAGCCAGTTTGAATTGAGAAACCACTCCTTAGTGTTTTGTGTTTCGTGAATGTTTGACGTCGTATCCACTCCATTGCCAAAGGCTCAACCCTGTCACTCAGTCATTTGGGATCACTGTCCTTCTCCACCTGCTCCTGCTTATTGCCATTACATCATACCAGTTTATTATGCAACTAACTGCTCATTAGCAACTAATGAGTGGATGTTATTTCTTGCCACTTCCCTCATTCAGATTTCCATTGTCCACTGGAAATATTAAACATAAACTCTAATGGCTCAAAAACAAGATTCTTGTATTTCCTTTAATTTGATTACTCTGCTACGTTTAGCCTGTTTACCAGTAGGAAACATCCAGGAAAACATTTTTTATTGCTAATAATGCTTTTATGAGGAAACTGCAGTCGACTCTCAGATCAAAGCAGTAATTAAACCCTTAGAAAATCAAATGTACTTTTTGTCTTCGAGTTTCACATTAGGAGACACTACTATGAAACAGTATGTTTTGTTTTTTTTGCTGTTTTTGTCAACAAAGCAACTGAAATGGTGGTTTACAGTTTATTTTATCACTCATACTGGGTGTTTTCATGTTCATCTTTTCATCCTGACTGCTTTATATATGTCAACAGGCTGAGGACTAAATGCAGGTGAACTCGGTGCTTCACAAACTGGAATAGGAGGTAAGCGGAGGAAAGAGAAGACATCAGGTGTAATGGACGACTGTTGACTGTAAATTAAAAGGGGTTGAGGGGGCATCTTTGGATCCCTGTCTGCTTCATCCAAACAACTCGCTGTATTGTTTAATTATTCCTCATTGGTTGGGACTCTATGCTGTTGTCGAGCTAAGCTGCTGTTCTTCTCTTACGTTTACCCTGGGATTAATCTGTAAAGCATGTTATACTCAAACCATAAGAATATTTTATTATGATGGAGCGGTGGAAGTGTCTGTTCCCCACAGTTGTTTAAACCACCCTAGACCACAAGGGCACTAAATTTTTGACACAACAGCATTCAGATATATGATATCTTGAGCTCAAATTTAGCTTTGAAGGTCAATAAGGAACATATAAAGATGTATTTATTTCTAAGACTGGCATGCTTCACTTTTTGCAATTCCTTTGTAAACTAGGGCATTACTTTTTTTTCCTTTTTTTTTTTTTTTAAATCAGGGCTACTTTTGAAACTACATTTTAATATTATATTCATGAAGATGAGCTGAGGATTTTAAGTTTGCTATAAATGATTGGTGCCCTAGACATTATGTGCTCACTGACCAAAGATAAAATCATGGTAAATTGTAAAGAGTTTGAATGAGGAAAACTAGACAATTGGGGCAGCAGTGATTGCGTACCTCATTGCTATCAAATCTAATATTGGTTTATTGACCATTTTTTAATGTTTTGTTCATGCATCATGTTTGTTTAGTAATCATATGCATTTATCGAAGGTGTATTTGTGTGTGTTGCTGAATTTGAATGAATTGAGCAGGAGCTTGAAAACTTGCAATATGTATGTGTCTTTTAGACTGACAGACATTCCAATGCTTTGGTGTGAGTGCTTGCTCTCTCTTCACATGTGCATTGTTCTATATCCCTGTTTTTCAATTGAGCTCACGGAGCAGAAAGAATCATGACATTTGTGATTGTATCGTACCCACTGCATCTCCCTGCAGATGAAATGTCTTCCTGTTTGGGTAGAAAATGTATATATAATTTGGTTTGCCTCTTGTAGGAGGTTTGGTTTGGCTTTTCAGAAGTACACGTAGCATGATACTGAAGTGTTTGTAGGATTTTCCTCAAAAGTTTTCTTCTAAGACTAAATGCAATTCTTTTTTCTTTTCTTTTTTTTTTTTTTTAAGCTTACTGGAGATATTTCCTGGTTGCTTTTATCACCGTATTATGATGTGTGAACAGTAAGCAAGCAGTGCATCAGTTTCTGTACTTTGTAAGCTGTCATATAAAATAAATGACATCTTTGCCTTATGTATTTTTTCATATTTGGCTCAGGATATTGTTTTCTGTAAGACCAGGGTAATCATGCACTTTGTTTCTTTCAATAAGCTGTTTTTAATGTTACTGGTATACTGATTTTTAAAAAAAAATTACAAATGTGTTAGCACTGATAATTCATAACCTATAAGATGATACATACTTTTTTACCTATAAAATGTTAATATGAATATATTATACATTTTCTTTGCATAAGGTAATTGATTACTTAATTGTTCAACAAACTTTCACAGTATATTTACGTTCTTTTAAAATATGCAAGTTTTTTTTTTTTTTTTTTGCCACAAGGTAATATACGAAGCATGTGTGTGATGCTGCTGACGCAGGAGCCGGCGTTCTGACATAGAACGTACATCTTTCTTAGTTCAGTGTATATTCTAGTTCAAATAAGTAAAGCTGGGCAAAAAATTGCAAGTCATCCTCTCTGTCGAAATCTTCAGACATGTTTACGAAGACTTTTATGTGCAGTGTGTGTCGTCTTCTGCTTGTAAACAAGGCACAGCACGTGCATCGCGGTACTCTCGTGACTAACACGGAAGAGAAGAAATTGTTGAATAAAATTATTTTTGTTTTCTTTGTGCACAAAAAGTATTCTCGTAGCTTCATAAAATTACGGTCGAACCACCGTTGTCACATGGACTATTATAACGATGTCCTTACAACCTTTCTGGGCCTTGAACGTGTCAGTTGCATCGTTATCTATAGAAAGCTTTCAGATTTCATCAAAAATATCTTAAGTTGTGTTCCGAATATACACAAAGGACTTGCGGGTTTGGAGCGACATGAGGGTGAGTAATTAATGACAGAATTTTCATTTTTGGGTGAAATATCCCTTTAAGCAAGTTTTACTGAAGCACTCTTTAAAACTGTTTTCCTATTAAACTTACTAACCATTTTCCATAGTAACTTATTGAAAATCAAATGTTTAAATCAAAAGGCAGTTAAATTTACTAATTTAATTTAGTAGTCAATATAAAATAAAATGTCATCTCATTTAACGAAGCTAGTTTTGCCTTTTAATAATTGTCTTTACAAAACTAGTATTTCCAAGTCTTATAATAATATGCACAATAAAATATATTTCCTAATAACATTTTATCTGAATAATAAGGTATTTCCAAATGCTAATTTCTGCAAAGAGTCCTTGCATAATATAGAAGTATTTGTTCCATAAGAGATGAAGCCCACCAATGGTGGAGAACAGCAAACTCCGCCCAGCGTTCAACTAAAACTAGTGTGCATCTCTGAGGCATGAGAAACACTGATGGTGCAGGAACACTCTTATCAGAAGTGCAGGAATCCAGTCACCTGAATCAGGGGATTCGCAGCAGACCTCTCAAGGCCTCCGAGAAACATACACCGACCGCTGGAAATATTAGGAATATCCGTCATCTCAGAATGAGAGGAGACAAACCCGTCAGCACCGGCAGGACAAACGGAGGAGCGGAGCGGAGACCGAGTTACCCCGGAGACCAGAGGGTGAGACACGCGAACAGAGCCACGAAGATTTGGGTGAAAGTGGCGATGGGCATCGCTTACTTTCTGTGTGTTTCAATCGCAGCTTTCATCTTAGCCATCTACTATGTGCTCTTCTGGACCCCAGATGGTCACAACAACGCCACGAAGACAAACGGCTCGTGCCTTCGTGGATAGTTTACATGGACAGAGACTGCTTCGCCGGATTCAGTCACATGTAACTGAAAGAAGCTGTTACAGCTGTTTCTAATGCACTATGCAAACCGTCCCAACACAGCACACTTATCAGTGCGAATTACCTTCTGCTCTGACTTTGCTTATTTAAAATGGGCGACTGATAAACTTACGTTTTATTTAATATGTATTAGGCATATATTGTGATTTATTTTCCTATTGCACCTTATGTTAAATGGCAATAATGATACGGGATGATACGATTACGACGATGATACGATTTTTATTGTGTTATAGAATTTGATGCATAATTTAATAACATTCAGGTTTTGTTGTATAACTTCACTTTGCAATAATCCTCACATAATGACGTTTGGCTTGTATTATTTCGAATGCTTTCCCTATTCAATTAAAATGTTAGTTATTTTCACCAGGAAAAAAATAGTTAAAATGCTAGATAGCCTAGTAAGTCATATTAATGAACTAAGTTACTTACTGTGGTAAAAAGAAGCCTATAATTTTATATAAACAGCACAATTATACTGTAAAATAATGTAAAATCTATATCATACACAATACAGTTACTCATTTACAGCAAAATATTGTAAGTACAAACTAAGCACCTTATAATATATAATAAAAAACTGTACAAGGATGTTCCAAAAATCTCTACATGTTGCTTTTTTACTTTAGTTACATTTCTTATTATTTTTAAGATCAGTTATCATTAGTGTTTTATTATACATTTTATGTTGTTCAGTTAATGTTTACTGCTTTATTTTACTTATTTATTCATGATGTTTTCCTTTTTTTTATGGTGAAATAAATCTTTTTTTTCTTCTTTATTTATAATGGGGCCCTTTTCCATTTTAAAATTAAAAATGGAAACTGTTGTGGACCTCCATGGATCTTTCTCTTCACAAGTTTTCTGACTCTGGCTACAGTCAGTTTTCGTTTTATTTATTTATTTGGAAAGGGACCATATACAATATTTAACATAAATGTTACTGCACTGTACCAGATTTAGCCAGCTAACTTACATCCACATTCAGAGATTGTTGCTTTGTGTGACCTTTGCTGACTGGACTTCACCAAATTTTACCCACTTTGATTGTAAAAGTTGAATGAGGAAAAGGTTCTTTGAGGTCTGTTCTTGAGTGTGCATTATGTTTACACATGACTGGTTCTCAAAACTTCTTTTGTCTTCCTGCAGTTAAATGTTATTTTTTATTTACATCATCTATGTGCAAATAATCTGCTAGTTTTAATGGGAAATTACATATGATGCACTCACCGGATAACTCTTAACAAAGGATTTATGACTAGAATTTTTACAATGAGTGCTAAATATGTCTGTCTTAGCTTTCTGTAATGGACAGTTATCATTACAATTTGATTATGCTCTGTTTCTCCTAATTCGAGTCGACTGGATGTGATGATGAGAACATGACTGTATTTTACCTTACAGTAAATCAGATATGGATTTATTATCTTCTTGATCATGCCATTTCCAACTGTTAGTCTCTGTCAGTGTGTCTGTGTGCATTTGCTTGATGAGTGAATCTACTGGAGACACTGTGTCTCTTCACTTGCTCAATAATTAAACTGAACTGAACGTTGTCAGGACATATTTGTTCTCCCTCCGTTCATACTTCCAGCAGAGGTATTGTGAATTTAGAAGGTTCTCCAGTGAGATAAAGATAAATAAAGACTTGTAAAATGGGACAGATGACACACTCTCACACCTCAATACATTACAGCTGCAAGTTGCAGCAAGCTAACACTGACCACGTTTATATGCGTCCTTTCTGATTAATGTCAATCCTGTATTCTGAAAATAATGACTGGAAGTTCTGCATAAAGTAGAATATTTCTGTAAATATGCAAGGGATAGTCCTTGCTGTTCTGTTCTTGAAATATTATAGTTCTTGCTATTTGTTACTTTGCATATCAGTAATTTAATCAGCTAATTCTAATTCTTGTTCATGTAACAGAAAAATACAGAAACATGATGAACCGCAAAACGAAAAATAAAAGTCCTCCCTATTTATTTTTTAATTAAATCGTATATCAATTCACATTTTGCCCCATGTGTTCATTTAGAAAGGATTGGCATTTGGTTATTATCACAAGATCATCACAACCTGAACCCAATTACCACACAGCTTTCAATATGCAAACACTTATTATGCATAATTGTTTATGGACCGGTCAGAAAATAATGTATAAAAGGGCCACAGGTGAGTTTATTTGTTTGGGAACAAAAGACAAACTAAAGTAGAAAAGGTGCAAGGGCAATGAGAGAACAATGGTTTCTGATGAGATTTGTGTTGATGGTTGACCTTGGCTGTACAATGACAGTAAGAGAAGCTGAGCAGACACTACAGCCAAATTGAAACCACTTCACTTTAGCGTCTACACATAATGCGTTCACAACAAGAACGATAATATTAGCATCCACACCAGCGCACGATAACGTTTATAAGAGTGCTGTAGCTAATTCTGTCTTCTGCCGCTCGAGCTCGTTAAAACAAGATGGATTTGTAATGTTTTTATTGCTCATTATCTGGAAAAATTGTAATTCCAACGATATCATTACCCCGTGTTGTTATAGTTGTGCTGTGGATTCTGTTTTTACATTTAGAACGATTTTTTTTTTATCCGTAGGCCTATTGTTATTGTCCTGGGTATGAATAGGCCATTACTGTACATGAACTTGATTTACATTCTTTTTTTTTTTTTTTTTTTTTTTAAAAAAAGTTAACAAGTTGTTAAGCCTATTTGTGTATTTTAAAAATAGCTGTCTGCAGCACAATAGTAGGCCAACCTGTTCTATTTTTGCAGAAATGTGAATTAGCAAGCTCAAGGAGGAAGTAAGAAACTGCAATTAGCAGCATGGTCGTAGTCAATGTTATTTTCTAAGAGAAAATCAGACCTGTATGGATGAGAATGAGTGTTTTGCAAGGAGTCGACAAAATTGGTTTTTAGCAATCTTTTGGCATTCTGCATTTTCTGCATTCCTGCCACCTTGGCCTATGTGGCAGATTTTTTGGCTGCCCTCAATTGTTTTTGGAATAATTAGTTATCAAAAGCAGAGGAAGCAGAGTGGTCATGTTTTGTGCCCGTTTCCACAGCACTGGGGAGATTAGCTTGGAGTCTTGCCAGGGCTGGATAAGGAGGGTAATTCCCCTGGGGCCTGCTGGTCAGGGCTACAATGTGGTGACATTCTGAATGCTTCTTAATGTAAAGGAAATTCATTCAAATTATTTGTAAATCAATGAAGTTTAAACA